ACATTTACATCTATAATAAATATTTTATTTTTATTTATTTTATTTTGGTACAGCAACAGAAAACAAATCAAGATCACATTAGGCATAATTAATTAATTAATTGCTTATTTGCCTTCCTATAACTGCTACACATGACACTTAAATAGTACATGTATTAACAGTAAATATGACAATTAATGAATAATAAATAAACTTAAACATAAACAAGTTCAATGATAATAGAAAATCAAATCAAAAATTGAGCATAATTATTGAGAAATTTAGAAAAAGAAAATATAATCAAAATAATTATTACAACAGTTATTACATTAAGAAACATCATAATTTAGACTTGCATATTCTTATGTAGGAATGATAGGAGAGTGAAAGTATATCCAAATCGTCACACAAATTATTATAAGCTCTACACATTCTGAAAATAGGGTCACTGTATGTTACATTATTATTGCATATTGGTAGAGAGAAAAGTTTTTGCACCCTTTTGCTACCACCCACTTTAAATGGAAAATGGCTTATCAGATCTTCAGTGTCCCATATGGAGTTAATAATTTTGTAAAGCGTTGATAAGATCGCTACATCTCATCTTGACTGAAGGGTCTCGCTTTGAAATGATCAAGTCTGAAATGTATCCAATCTACGTCTCAAACCGAATTTAGCACTCAAGTATCGAAGAAACCTTTTTTTGGACTGCCTCTATTCTGTCAATATGGATGCTATAAAATGGGGACCATACTATCTAATATTTAACAAAATAAACAAATTTTATCAAGATTTTAAAAGCAATTTAACTGCCTTTAAAAACAATATAATCAATTTAATGTACTGAGCTAACATTGGCTTCTACATAGTAAAAGAAAATATGTCTATATAGTATCTTTTTAAAATATTCGTAAATTCGCCGAATAGTAATTTGATATTCGGGTTTGGGAATGTTCCTTGCATCAATGATATTAATATTAGAACCAAAATATTAGTTTTACAAACAAAAATATAACATATTTTTTTGCGTTTTGATATTTTTATTATAATATAAACAAAACTTACCGGTATCTCATTCAATATTTGCGAATACAAGTGATAGTGTCCCGTCTCACCAATAAAATACAAATTTCTGCCTGTACACAAGCAAGCTGTGCACATATCATCCATTTTAAAAAACACCAATGCAGCGAATGTTCACTTACAAACTAACAGCGTTTAGGTTTTCTTTAATATTGATTCTTTTAGAAAATAATGTTTCGGAACTATTAAAGAAGCGTCCCTCTACTCCAGTAGCGATGTTAAAATAATCACAGACGAATAAGAGATACTAAAAATAATGTTTTTATTTTAATCGATTATTATTATCGTATTAACGATTTTTTATAATCGATGTTTTAAATCATATTAATCGATTTTTAACAAACCGATTGAATAAATTGCGCGGTTAAATCGATTTTCATGAATAGCACCATCTATGCGCCAAATGAAAAAACTCGAAGCATTATTACCAGAAGTCGGAATTAGGTAGAGTTATTTATGTACTTGCATCGAAATGTTGATATTAATGTGGACCTTCCCGGGATTTCTTTATTTCTTTCTTTCATTGATGTAAGTTTGGCAACGTCGTGCGTGCAGTAGTTTAAATTGTGTAAAAGTAAATACCTTTTTTTTTAAATCACGGGATTTTTTCTGCCCTTTAAAATTAATCTCGGGATTTGGGGCATATCCGCTTTATTCTTTCGCTGTATGAAATCAGTGTAAGTACATGAATTACTCTACCTAATTCCGACCACTGATTATTACTTACAAGTAGATTATATAAAAAACGGCGCCATCTGTAGATATGTAGGTATATATGACCGACATTAGAAAAACATCGATATCATCATCGTAAGTCCAACATCGATGTTCGATATTTATCGAAAACTAAACATTTATGATTTTTTGCAATAATTCACAAAGAAATAAAATATAGTGAAATCTTTTGAAATTTATTAAGAAACAACAAATTAATCGAAGTAGAATTAGTAGAAGGAAAACTAATTTTGATAAAGAAGAATTTTTTAATCTATTTCTTTGTTGATAAAGAGTAGAGTCAGCTTTTGTAAACATGTGTGTAAAATATGTATTTTATGATATGTATGTATAACATATATGACAATTCAGTTTTAATCAAAAATATCATAATTTCAATTGATATAAATATTATCAAATATTAAATAATGCATTGGTCTTGTGTGAGGCAGTTAGTTAACAATGATGATTGATTTCGTTGTAACGTTATTTTTCGTATAGCAACATCGATGTTAAGACATCGATTTTTTGTTTTCAACATCGTTGATTATCGAAAATCGATGTTCATTGATCGAAGCAGTTAGTATCGTAATCTTCTTACTGGCAACTGATTTATTTTTGTTCTCAAAATAACCTATAAAAATTATTGTTTTTAAACTGCTTACCGGAAAAATTATGGGAATAATTATTCAAATTTAATGTATCATTTTTTAGCTTCTTGTGAACGTGTTGTCACAAGAAGCTAAAAAATGATACATTTAACTGTCGTTAAGCTTTTCACTCATCGTTTAATTTTATTTTAATACTACTCTTACATAAAACGAGACTGAAAATTAGTGCCAATAATTATTTTTCGTCATAAACATAACACATAAACGAAAGAATTGTTTTATATTTTTGTTTTTGAGACTGTAACATCGTCGTTTAATTTTTTTGACATTTTAAGTATTTTATTTTAATACTAGTCAAATGTAAAATAAGGCGCAACATTTGTTACAATAAATAATTGTTTAAAATAACGAAAGAATTGTTTTATATTTTTATTTTTGAGACCATAACGTCATCGTTCAGTTTTTTTTATTGTTATTTTAAGTAAGTATTTTATTTTAATACAAGTCACATGTAAAATAGGACTGAACATTCGTGACAATTTTTTTTTTATTGATTATTATATTTTATTTTTTGCGACAATAAGGTTGTTATTTTGTTGGGGTGCTCATTTAATTTTTATTATAATAAAACGTTTAAAGATACTGAGGATTTCTATCAATAATGATATTTGGTTTCATTTTTCCTTACCTTGAAAGTTTAAAAGAACATTTGCTTTGATTTTTAGTTTTGAATTGTCAATTTTTTTATTCAATTTTTTTTTATCTGATTAATTGTTAATAATGAATCTCTTAGGTTTATTATTGGAATATGAAAAGCATGTAGGATTTTAAATAATAGAAAAAATCGTTTTTATTTATTATTAGTATTTATTTATATTATTTATTTTCATTAAAATCGATTATTGACAAATCAATTGATATTTTATAAAAGAAAATCGATTTTTATTAAATCGATTATTTTCTATTAATCTCACATCCCTATACTCCAGTTCAAGTAAAAAAAAATTGATGTTATTTTTTTCAGCGTCAAACGTAAACAAAGCAAAGGAATCTATTCCATACAACTTGCAAACATTTTCTTTGTAAAATCTTTGTTGAACAATACCTATACAAAATGTTTTGCTGTACCACAATCAAATCCTCCAGACCATCGGATTATAAATCCTTAGATAACGATCTGTAGTATTTAGATAATGATTTTAGTCTGAATAGTAGTATTCAGGGGCTCACTCTCGTAACGACGGTATACCACAGGTAGGTATTTAGAAAGCGAAATAAAAAGTAATATCCAACCACTTTTGAACCGGTTTATTAAATAGATGTATATATATACATGTTCTCTGACTTATACTGTATACTATAAATTATTGGAATTCGATAGTATTAAGGTCATAGCACACTTGAACAGCACGGCCTCAAGCCGGTGATTTACTTGCCCTCTTCTTCTTTTTTAATGTATGTCCTATGTGAAAATACAGGTTTCTAATGAAAGTATAAATTAGGCTTTGAAACATAAAAAAGGAGGGAAAATAGACTATTTATTTTCTAAAATACACATGACAATAAATTATTTACTTAACACGGAACAACCATTATTACAACAGCACCAATAAAATAAATATTACAAAGATTACGCCCATACGTTTTTCGATACCGTAGGTACTATCGGTGTGACGTCACTTCGTGACTTTAATTTGTAGGGAGCGTTTTCGATCGACTAGATGATCCACGAACATACCACCGTGTCTCCGAAACTATTAATCGCACACATGCTGTTATTTCTACATTATTTCACAAATATTAATGGGAATCTTCAGGTTTTTTTATATTGATATTATGATATGTGCTATACAACATACGTTTTAATGCTCAAATTTAAATGGCAAGTTAATTGCTGGGTTGTGGTGCTGTTTAAGTGTACTCTGACCTTTACTTACAAAATAATCGATAGTGTTAATTTATTTTTAATAATTTCATTTGTGAGAGGGATCTCATCGGTCGATGGACACGGAGTCCCCGAAAGTGGAATAACGACTAGTAATATTCGAAATTACAACACTTGCGCAAGTATCTCGCACGTATTAATAATGATATTATTTAATATATATTTGACAAATGATAGCGATTCCGATCGCGTCGTTTTTTTTAATTAAATTGAACGAACGCTATTCTTAATTTAACATTAATTAGAATTGTCTAAGGCAAGCGCCGTAGGTGCAAATATTACTTTACTTTTTATAGTTTAAGCTACTAAGTTTTTATTATGTTTCTTAGTCACTCAAATCATCATTCGATGAGGTAGCGATCGCTATAACTTTTAATAGGAATTGCGATAGATTTTAAAATTAAATAACCAGGCCAAGGTTTTACATTCACAATGCTATAAAATTCATTTATCCCAGGTATCCCCAAAAATACTCCATCGATATACTATAGCCCGGTCGCAGGAAAGAGAGAATTTAGTACAATAACACATCTCTTTCACTATCTCGCTCGCACAGATGCATCTAACCAAGTGTGGCACACTAAAACGTTTACGATATCTATCAATAGGCCCAGAGGTCAACGTACTTACTTCTCTCTGTACGACGACCGAACTGTGTAAGGTAGACCATCATTACAATACTACACGCCACTTGTTCCATTAGTGACACCACTGATTTCTTTACTCTTCTTTTTGCTCTTCTTCTTCTTCTTCTTATTCGGATCTCTCTGTTTCGTCATGTCGTTGTATTTCAATAATCTTTTATACATTTTCAACAGCTGTTTGGCATCTTTTTTCATTTCTCGTGTGATAAGCGATTCTTCACTCATCGCTATTAAATTATCAGTATCTTCTTTCTCCTCTATTTCGTTTATAGGATCTACATATTTCGTAGAGCCTTCTAATGTGTTGAAATGATCTATAGTTCCTTCTTCTACGTTTACGTCTTCACTGTCGTCTAGAGGCGCTAATTCTTTCTCCTTCTCTCTTATTTCTTCCTTCTTCTTCGACTCCTCCAACTTTCTCTTCAGTTCTCTGTTCTTTTTCCGTAACGCATTAAAAATACTAGATGTGCTCAACACTTTCTTCACTTTCTTACTGTCTAAATAACGATCTTTCCACGAAACATTCTCTAAATTCTCATCTGTTAGTGCTTCTTGTTTCTCTTTTTCTTTTCTTTCGTGTTCGCGTATCTCCTCCTCTGTGACGACGTCTTCCCTCTCTATCTGATCTATTTTAGCAGATAGAGCTTCTATTTCTTCCGCAGTCGGCTCCTTGGACAGAACCGTCCCTTCAACTTCGTAACACGACGAATCATCTGATAACTCTAGAATTTCGTATACTTCATCATAATCGTTCTCTCCATCATCTAGTCTTACAACACTTTCTATTTTTACGATGTCTGTATCTGTCTCGTCTTTGGTTTCTTTAAAGAAGTTTTGATCACAGTCTTCACGAAAATCCGACTTTGTCTTTTTGCATTTCTTCTCTTTCTTGTTCTTTTTCTCTTTCTTCTTTTTCTTTTTATGATTCTTCTTTTCTGTCTCCTCATCCGATATACACACGACCTCTGGTTGTAACTCGACAGCTTCTACTTCTGAACTAGCTCTTTCTGATAATTCTCCTTCAGACAAATCTTTAGTTTCTTCCTTAGAATCTTGTTCTTTTTCAATAGTTCTGTCCTGCGATTGACCGGCCACAGTTGCTGTTACCTGTTCAACATTTGATTCTTCAACTATGACATTCACTTTGGCAGTTTTCTCTTTAGCAGTTATAGCATTATCTTCCACGGTATTTGGAATTTTGTCGCTAGTATTCGATTGTTCTGAAACAACAGGTATATCGTTTATGCTAGACATTTCAATGTCTTTTTCTGATTGTTTCTCGTGTCCATCTTCTACTCCACTCATATTGTGTAACACTTCTTCATTTATATTATTATTTTCTGTATTCGAATTATCAACCGCTTCTTTATTATTATCTTGAGCTCTATCTGCTATATCGGCTATTTCGTTTGTATCTTTAATGTCTAGTAAATCGTCATTATTAACTGCTTGTTCTTTTTCAGAGAACTCTGTGTTGCCATTTACATTGCTTTCGCTCTGATTCTTATCTGTTTTTGCTTCCGAACAATCCATATTATTTTCTATAGGTGTTTTATTAGTATTTTTAGGTACAGCCTCATTATTCTTAGATATTTTAATACCAATTTTCTTTGTAGTCTTTTTATTATCACTATTATCTTGAGATTCATCTTCAGACTCAGAACTACTATCTTCAGAGTCTTCTGAACTAGAACTGGATAACTTGTCGAAATTCTTTCTATCCAAATCTTCTAGGAGGTCCATTTTTTCCGTATCAGACAACTGTAAAGTTATCTCGTCGTGATCGCTGCCATATTTATCTTTATCCTTCTTTTTTTTCTTAATTTTTTTCTTTAATTTATCTTCTTTAGCTGTAGTCTGTTTTGTAGCAACCGCAGATTGTTTAACTTTATTAACTGATGGAGTGCCTTCTTTAATTACATCAGTAGTTTTATTATTCGTGGAAACGGTTGCTTCGGCATCTTTACCTGCGTTAGTGACTGTTGCAGTCGCTTTATTACGATTGAGTTTAATCTTTCTGGTCTGTTTAGTCTGTGGCACAGTTATTATGAGATCGTTGACTCTTTTTGTCACCGTTTGGTTTTCTTTAGATTTATCGGTGTCGTTAGAGACGTTTCCTATGAAAGAAATGGTTTAATTAGAAAGATATTAGATAGAAACACAGTTTTCTCAATCATTATTGAATCATCATCAGCCTATCAATTTCCCAATAGCTATAAATCAGTGGTTCTTAAACGGTGGTCTCGGGAAACATCCCAAGTGGTCCGCAGAGCCTCATAAAATTATTACTACTTGTATAAAAAGGAGATCTTAGACGCCGTGGTTTGGGGTCTGCGGTACGGTTGTTAAGCAATTTCCGCAAAGGCCAGTCATATGATGGGTGACCAAAAATTTATTATCTTGAACTCCTCTGTGCTTCAGAAGGCACGTTGACTCGTCGGTCCCGGCTGCATCTGCAGAAAATTAACACCCACCAATCCGCACTGGGCCAACTGTGGGTGCATTAATAGGCTGGTGATAATTACCATTAATACCTTTAGTTTTCCCATCATCAGCGGCGTCCTTCTCTATCTTCGGCTTCTCCTCGTCACTGCTGATCTCCACCACTTCGGCCGGTTCCTCCTTTATCTCGACGTCGTCATGGTCGGATGTAATATGACTAGAGTCAGCGACAGACTCTGTTTGTTCCTCTATTAACATAATGATATTCATTTATACTAATATTATAAAAAGGACACGTTTGTTTGTTTGTATTGAGTAGGCTATGCCACGCGGGTGATATACGCGGGCAAAGTCGCGGGACAGCTAGTTTAATATATTAAGTACAAACAAAATATTCATAAAGATACCACAAACAAAGATATAAGGAAGGGCTCGACTTGAAATGTTGACCTACGATGTAAGATACTCCTTCGGTTTATGCTAGCCTGGTACTTTGTGTCGTTAGTGGCTCGCGCGATGGGCTCAGGGGATCGCCGTCTGTGAGGTCCCGGGTTCGATCGTCGGTCGAGTCGATGTAGGGAATGGATTTTTCTATATTGTCTCGTGTCTGGGTGTTTGTGGTACCTCCATTGTCTCAGATACTTCATAAGAGGAGGGCTTTAATTAACCGAACCGATAACTAGTGCGGTGAACGATCTACTAGTGTCGTGAAGTGACCGCAGTGAAGTTGAAGTTAGAGTTTTATAGTTGAACTGTTTTATTGCGTTAAATGAAGTCGGATTGCGAACTATGATTGGCTTTAATGTGGATGGGGCCATTCATTTATTACGTAAGACTATTTTCGCTAGTTTTTGACCCCTCCCTCCCTATTATAAGAAAAGGCCGACCCCCCCCCCCCCCCTATTTAATATTTATTACGTAAGAATCTGAAAGAAAAATAATACTGGTTTTGGGTTGTTTTCATTTTTCAAAGTAATAATTTTTAGAAACCTTTTTCTGTACTCACAAAGGTACTTATAATTTTCATTTATTGGTAGTTTAAAAAAAAACTTTGGTTTCATAAATCTTTATAAAATTTTCAGTCCAGGTACTCAAAAGTGTACTGGAACATCTCTAATAAAAGGTGTCGCTTCTAGTTGGTCATTTAGGATAGCGACGTCGTTGACGTCCACCCATTCCACATCAGCCCCATTTGCTGATCTTACGTGAGAACTATCGAGACTCCCTCCCACCCCCTTGTAAGAAAAACTAAGACTTTGTTGACCCCCTTCCCTCTAAATCGTGTTACGTAATAAATCATCATTAGCCCTTTCACGTCCCCACTGCAGGGGCTCAGGCCTTCCTTATGGATGGTTAAGAAGCAATGGCCCATGACCCTCCACGCTGGCCCAATGCGGGTTGGAGCATATTAACGTCCTGCAAATGCAGCCGGGACCGATGGCTTAACATGCCTTCCGAAGCACGGAGTAGCTCGAGATAATAATTTTCGGTCACCCATCCCGTGACCGACCCTTACGAGAGTTGCTTAACGACTACGATCTACGCCACCGAGCTACGTAACAAACGAACGGCCCCTATCCCGAGCAATAGAACCCCGCGGCGCTACCGACTGTGCGCGCGGTCCTGGTGCAGCTGCGCGCGGATGGCGCGGGCGCGCGCCTGCAGCTCCAGCAGCTCCAGCACCGTGAGCCCCGCGCGGGACGCGCAGCCCTCCTCCCTCCTGCCCTTGCTCCTCTTGGACTTGGACCCGTGACGGTGTTTGTGCTGATCCGTGGAAATATCGTTCGTATACACACCGTGTACAGCCGAGAGTACTGATCGCTTGAGAAAATGTCATATTTATAACAAGTAAATGAGTATTTGAATGGAGTCCTCTCTTTGTTCGTTTTACTTCAGAATGATTGCTAAAAACGGAACTGTTATCGTGTACATTATATTTTACCCCCACCCGCGTAAACTTTAGTCATACCGCGATCATGGCGCTTGCCCCGGCGCCGAAATATCGGAAACGGTTTTTTAGGGTACCGCAGTAAAGGAGAAACCCTTATAGTTCACTTTACGCCATATGTCTGTCCGTCCGCGGTTTAGCTCAAAAGCTAGTAGTACTAGAAAGTCGAAATTTAGCATGGGTATACACGTTGATTACGCAGACCAAGTGGTAGACTAAAATTTTGAAAAAAATAATTGTGGGCTACCCCCCCCTACATGTCAAGTGGGGACATTTTTTTTTATCTTCAATAATGTAGAGTGTTGTTAGATTGCTCTTTCTAAAACATCAGAGGTTTTTTGCTTCGATTTAGTTAACCTTTTCTGAATTATTAAACTTTAAAGAACTAATTTGCGTAAGACTCAAGTGTCCGTCCCCCCCCCCACCACCGAGTAAAAGGTCGTTGGTAAAAACTCAACCGTTACGGCGGTAGTACCTATACATAACGATGTTTTGAGACTTTGCAAGTTTACGAGTAAAAGTCGACCGCTTGTATTTAATTAGAAAATTCCGAAAAACTCCACAGAAAACAACGAACGTGATATTTTTACATTTTTTAATGGATAGCGGTACGATACCACTTTTAGCGATCACTCTGATGTGTAAATGACCATGAAATATTTAAACAAAATCAACGCATTCATTCAAATTCCCGTCTGCTGGTTAAAAATATTAATTAATATGATATTTTCTGAAGTTATCACTTCTCTCAATTATAGATACGCGTGTCACTCTAAATCAGGGGTCGGCAACCTTCACAGATGGAACAATCGAAAGCTACAACTTAAAAATCACAGTTGCTAAAGAGCCACTGAAAAATTTCATTTCAACATGTTTCAGATTATTTCAGATATTATTAAAAAAAATATATATATATAGCAATAGATATTGATAAAACAAACTGTTCTAGCCTGTAATAACCAGAGGTCGGAATTAGGTAGAGTTATTTACGTACTTGCATCGAAATGTTGATATTAATGTGGACCTTCCCGGGATTTCTTTATTTCTTCTTTCTTTATGTAAGTTTGGCAACGTCGTGCGTGCAGTAGTTTAAATTGTGTAAAAGTAAATAACTTTTTATTTAAAAAATCATAGGATTTTTTCTGCTCTTTAAAATTAATCTCTGGATTTGAGGCATATCCACTTTATTCTTTCGCTGTATGAAATCAGTGTAAGTACATGAATAACTCTACCTAATTCCGACCACTGGTAATAACTGCATAGTTATCCAGCAGTGCTATTGGTTTATAAAAATCGACCTGGAATTCAACCGAATATATTACTGTATAAAGATTTTAATTCTTTGAAACTCTATGACAGCGCTGAATTCGATGTCGATTTCGAGGGTGTTTTAAAACAGATTAAGAACTGGCAAGAAATTAAGCAAACACGCTTTTATCACCCATTTTATTGTGTACTGAACTTTCGAATTAAAAATTGTATGAAAGAATAATACGGATGACTTTTACCCAGTGTAAAAAAAAAGAAATTCTATTTAGTCCGTCATTCACATAATAGAAAATATTAGATACGTATTTTTTAGTTTCAATTTTTACAAGAAATAGCTTAGATAACAGGCATTTAAGTTGTGGGGGCTCGCTACATCACGGTTTTGTAGAAAATGTACAAAAGCGTGAAGTAATGTGACATTGTAACTTAACGTATCAAAATAATTTATTTATTTAAAAAAAAATACGTGTTTAATATTCTTCAATAACCTACTTGACAGACAAACAAAACTAGTCGTCATTCCCATTATCACCGATAATTATTCTTTCATACAATGACGATGCCTGGATAATTAATCGAAATTCTGTTTATTCCATCAATTATATTAAGCAAAATATATATATATATATATATATATATATATATATATATATATATATATATATATATATGTCCTATATGTCATATATATGTTATTGTCCTGTCACAGATAACTGATGGACATGAGTCATCATTAAAATATAATAATGTGTAAATAAAGCTTTAGATATAACTAGTTGAAATTCACCTTTTTACCCTTCTTGCTGCTTGCTTCGCTGAGTATCTCCTCATCTGAAGATATGCTATCGAGGGATATAGTCTCCAGCCGCTCAGGAGATGCGCTCGATGACTCTGTGTCAGATGGTGGTTCAGCACCATCCAAGATTGCACATAGACGTTTAGAGCTAATGCCAAGTAACTGAAACAGTAGACGACACAGATAGAGAAACTCGATGGAACAATAATTAGTATGCTAGGTCATGAAGTGCTTAAGTTAATGCCTAAAATACAAATAATATTAGAATATATAATCAAATCAAAATCGTTAATTAAGTCTAGGCTTAAACACAGCACTTGTGAAAGTCGAAAACTACGGCAATGGTTCGCAAAACTACGGCATGAAACCTATTACTGAAAAGAACCAGCCTTGTATTGAGAAGAAATTCAGCAAGGGCTGCTATTTTCTCCCTGTTTTATTTGATAAAAACACAAAATCTCAATTGATTATTCTCAATAACTTACATTCTTTATGTTTTATATGGCAAAAAGTCCTAGTTTTATCAAATTGCTATCAACTGATCATTATAAATTTATAAATCAGTAATGAAAAACTATTTAATTGACGTTTAAAATTACTTAAGCATGGTTTGAGACTTGCTCAACTTCCAAATTCTCAATTCAGAAACTGAATGTATAAATTTCTTAAGTAATATATCATTGGTACCACATATAATTTTTACCTGGTATACAGTCTGTTATACAATTCTACTAGTACAGACACCAGTCTCTCACATAGATTACAAAATTGTACCTTTCTATATTTATTATATTATGAGAGAACAAATAAAATTTGATATATGTGTGAGAGAACAAATAAAATTTGATTTGATAAATATGTTAAAGATCTTGTTTTAGGGTATAAATAGTACCTTCCAGAACCATATTTAGACCTAGTAAAATAGTTGTTTCTCGCTTTTTTTTATACCGAGATCTTTTACACTACACAACGGATTTTAACACAGTTTTCATCTATATACAGAGTGATTGAAGAGGAAGATATTGTACAATAAAGTACTACGCGGCGGGAAACTAGTATCCCGTATGTTTTGGTATGGTATAACTAGATTAAATATCGTACCTCTTCGGTGCACAGCTCTTGTAGGTCATCAATTGAGATGTGCAGAACGCATTCAGGTATCATTGGCTTGATTTGTTTATGTTTCAGAACCGAAAACACTTGGTGCATCAATTCGACCCTATCGTGTATGTAATAGGTCAAATCGTAGTCGTCTTTCGGCCGTGCGTATGATGTCGAAGACTCCGGTTTCTCAGATTTGATTCTATGTTTTTTATTTCGCTTCATTTTGTCTATTTTTCAGTAAAATAATCTTCCTTCATTAAACAACACAGCCCTGCGATTCTGTAAAACTTCAAACCCGAATTCGAATCCACTCAGGTGTCCGAATTCACTTCAAAAAGCGGCATCCGCTCAAATTTTAATTGGTAATAATGTTTCGTGAAATAAGTGAAGTGAGTTTCGAAATGATATAGGATTAAAATATCTAAGACACGTTTAATCAGTCAATTTTGTTTAGTATTTTTATACAAAAAATGGAATCAATAGGATTTCTAGACTAAATGACTAGAATTCGGACACATGAGTGAATTCGAATTCGGGTCTGGATTGTTACAGAATCGCAGGACAGGTGACAGATTTAATATTATAATACACGCCATTTGAGAAGTTTCTTTAGTTGCAGATAATACATAAAACTCGTAACATTTTAAATTAGTCACGTTATAAGAACACCGTGACAGTAAGAATGACAGTTCATATTTATCAACAAGACGCGTTCAAAATACATAAACTTAGTCTGTTCTACTGTCTCATTGACTTAAATAAGCAAAAATAAGAACTTTGTAGAAAATTAAAAACTTGTATCATAGAGAAACCATATGGAAACATATGTTATGAATTTCAAAACATGTCGTAAAAATGGAAACAAATAAATATTTTTTTTTCAGATAAATTAATGTAAACTGTACACATCCGTAACAAAGTCTTCAAAAAAGCATCAAGATGAGCGTAGAAAAGCTGTACGAAAGTGAGAATTTCTTAGTAGTTAATAAACCTTTTGATATGTATATCAACTCTGACGACGAAAACGAAAAGGTAAAAGCTTTAGACAATATTTTTAATTAACTCATTCATTCATTTTAGGTTAACTCGATTTTCATATCAAAATACCATAGTGCTTCCCTGTGTGTTGTTTTATCGAGTCGATAAAAACCTAATGTTATTTCGAAAGTGATTATCAGTGGTCGGAATTAGGTAGAGTTATTCATGTACTTACACTGATTTAATACAGCGAAAGAATAAAGTGGATATGCCTCAAATCCCGAGATTAATTTTAAAGAGCAGAAAGAAACCCCGTGATTTTTTAAATAAAAAGTTATTTACTTTTACACAATTTAAACTACTGCACGTTTTGTTATTATTATTTAGTTGTAAGATTGTTGGCCACACGGGATTGTCCATTAGAAATCCCGGGAAGGTCCACATTAATATCAACATTTCGATGCAAGTACATAAATAACTCTACCTAATTCCGACCTCTGTTGATTATACATGAATGATTTCATTTAACACTAGTCTTATGCGGTAGTTATATTTTGCGTTGCTCAATATATTTTTTATTGCAACAACAAGCTTAGGAAGAACTGTATCTACATAAATAAATTATATAAATTTATAGATCTTGTATTGAGTGGAAATTGTCTATTGTATTTAGCGCCACATAAAAGAGTGTTTTGTCATGTATCAGTAATAAATATTAGGTATGTTAATCGACTGTTTAAGTATCGGTAATTTTTTTTTTGGGGTCATGAAAAATACAGTACATAATTAAGCATAGAGATATGTTAGACATAGAGCAGAGCCGGGAAGCCGAGGCTTCTCCTCGGTTAGAAAGAGAGTTAAGATCGCGGGTCACTATTTATCTCTACTTCCGCATGCGTAGTTAGTAGATTAATTAGTCTGCATAGCAGAATAATTCAACGGTTGGTTTAGCTGTCCTTTGAAGACGAAAGCCTATGGAGAATAAGGCATCATCCTTATGTGCACTCTCTTTCAAACCGAGAGATTTTTCATTCTGACGTGGAGCGTTATGTCTTTCATGCTCTACCTATATCGTCTATGTCTGTTCCGAAGTCCTTTTGATAATTACAAACTTATTTCAAAATTCTCTCCAGAATACTGTCACTTGCCACATTGCGTCTCCAGACTCTCATATGTCCTCTTCAGCGTATCCACTACACTTCGTGCAACGGCTAGACTATTCCACTAGTGGGGTGCTGTGTATAGCTAAAACGAAGGGCGCAGCGGCTAGAGCGGGACGCCTGTTCGAAAAGAGAGAGACAAGGAAATATTATTTGGCCGTAGTAAGGGGGCATGTTAACTGTGAGGTTGCTGATATTGAGTTTGATGTTGGTAAGTATATTAATAATAATAATAATAATATAATAATAATAATTTATTTGCGTTTGAACAGGGTATACAAAAGAGATGTAAAAGGTAATACAATTATCGCCTTTTCAGCCATTAACAATAGCATGGAAGATACTATAAGCACTGATCAATCCACCCAGGCTAAGAGCATTGCAGAGACGACAGCAGCACTTTAGTGGCTTCCGTCTTTTTACTATAGAAATTATTAATATTTACAGGAGTGGATCCGCTCACCGCTCATTCGAGTCACAAGATGATGGCGAAGGTCAGTTCAGCGAGTGAATGCACTGAGTCGCGGCGCGCGCACACACGCATGCTCGTGTTAGAGACTGGTCTCTATGACGGCGATCCTGTTACCGTGGTGCTGTTAAAGCCTATCACTGGTCAGTTTTCTAATGCAATCACATGGACTTACAGTAAAACTCTACAAATTGGACACGTCATTCATTTGCGCCTACCAATTCCACTAATGGCTGAATATATGATCAGTCTTGCTTTTTTATTACATTAGGTGTAAAATACTGCCCACTGTGTTTGCGTCCGTATCGTATTCGGCTGAGTTCAGACGCACTTGTTGAATCAATCTGATTGACTAACATTTGCCACGTACAGAAGTTTAGCTTCCTGTGTCCACCCTACTTATTCTGTAACTCTGAGAACAACGAAATAAATTGTTCACCGAGTTCTGTGGGCAAGCGGTCTTACGACTAAGTGATTTTGACACATTGGAATTGTTCACCTTTTGATGATAATTACGACCTTCAAGCTGTCAGCTGAGGTAGCGAATAGGACTACAGGTACACCGGTGAGCTTTATTAGTTGTGTTTTACAGTACGTGTATGTTATAATACGGCATAGGTCGCCGCCACCAGTTACGCGTCCATTGCTCAGCCATCGGCCACACTATCCTTGGCGACTACACTTACAGCAACCGTCTCGACAACTCACCGCATAGAATGTTTCTACATGCCACGAGGTGAGTAGATTAACCTTTGGGTATTTATTATGATAAAAATGTGTATGTTATAAGAAAAACGAAGATCTTTTGTTTTTCCACAAAAAAACTGCATTCACACACTAAAGAAACTAATTCTCTGTTCGGGAAACGAACGCGGACTTTTTGACGAATAAAATGTTCATTATATCTTCTAATTTTTTTCATAAAAGATCAACTAGTTTAGACGCGTAAAATTGTGTCTAGCGTTACTTGTTTCATTTTAGACATGAAATGAAAGCACTTGAAAATGACTATACTGTTCGAGAACCACATATTCGGCATCTTAGTAGAAATAATGTGGGATTTAATTTCAAAAAATCCGGGTTTCATTCCCGAGCTGTGAACTATATTTTTTATTATATATGTTACACTAACTGAATTCTTTCACCATTTTACGTCCCTTAAAATTTCCTTTTAAAACCAAATCGTGGAAAAATTAACTGATGCTTTGATTACAGACTTGTGTTACCAGTACCGTCAGAGCCACTGGACATACAGACTCCCGAACCATTCTTCCAGGATCCCCGTTTGCATTCAAAGTGGAAATCTGAGCGACAGTTCTACAAATACAAAACTAAGAAGGACTTGTTAGCCGCCTGCGAGATATTAGATAAATCGTACGTCATCGGCGTGAAGTACAAAATGTTCTCATGTAACGATTAGTTTTTGACAGGCAGGCCTTTTCAAAGGTTTCAAGAATTAATGACTAGACAGATGATACAACCTTCGTTAACTTTAATAATGGATATATACCTATCAGCATTGAGATATAAATACTAGAGAACGGAAACCAGTCCACGAGCTTCTCTCCCTGTCTCTATTTGAGTGACGTTTCCGCTCATAAGCAGCTGTATGTCTTATTCTATCTCTACACGTCAATATTGCCAGTTTTCTCGTTCTTTCGAGTCAGACTGAGATTTTTATGTAGATTGTTGGCCGTATATATATAAATTCAATATGTAAATGCAGTGGTAGTTTGTCATTAACACATTTTTTGTGCCTACATGATTTTCGTTATAAGTAAAATGAAATAGACTTTTTATTTATATCTTGTGGTCTTTCTTTTTGCGAACCGCATCAAAAACGTTGTGCAGTTAATAAGATCTCAGCGTACAGACAGCGTGATGCAACTTTGTTTTATATTATGTATAGATTAGATATGTTAGCTTCTTGCCTATTACTTCTAGGGGCACGGAAGTACCCCCATCGAGTCGAGCAAAAGAGCATTATAATGAGGAAATTAAAAAAAGAGAAAGCAATAAAAAAACCTCACTAGATGGCGACTCTAGCGATAAAGTTTTTTTCAAAAAAAAAAATGATAAAAATCTTAAATTTGCAAAATAGAATATGAGTTGTTTATTGAGATATGAAAATTAATTTATTTTTATACATGAAAGAAAATCGGATGGATTGTCACGTAGAAATCAAGAAAGTACGGTAGCGACATCTAGTTTGAATTCGGGAACTAATCTTCTTTTTTAAATACTTCCTCGTTACACGTACACGTTGTCAGCCTGTATAATATCATCAGAACGTCTTTCTTCTGCAAAGAGGATTTAGACCATAGTAATCTTCATAGATCGATTTATATCGATTGATCTAAGCTTATTAAGACGAAAGACTTGTTAGTTTGTTTGCATTGAATAGGCTCCGAAACTACTGCATCAATTTTAAAAAGTCTTTCACATATGAGAAGCTACTTTTTAAGACATCATACGTGGAGCGGATAACATCAATGTTCTTCTTCTTCTTTTTTAATTAATGGCTTATCTGCGCATTTCGCACAATTCTGCCAATGTCAAGTGAATAAATAAATTTCTACATGTAAATGAAAATGAAATACAGTGAACCCCCAGTAATCCGGCCCCTGTCTAATCCGGCGCCCCCTGTAATCCGACATGTCCGAATATTTTTTGGTAGATACGTAATGCATGATTGAACAGGTCATAATTTGTGCGCGCCACCATTATTGCGCTCGACGCGTAGGTTTGTTTGTTTATTACGTACATTTGTTTGTACACAATTATTTCCTAATGCAAATTATTATTTTTCACATTACTCACTCGCATCACTTTTACATTATATTAATACGTAAGCTCTATATTATGTTTTTTAATTTACCTACTAGATTCGATATACATAATGAATTATGATTTGTACTTCAGAGTAATATAGATATATACATAACATATAGATCTTTATCACTGATCTGTAATTAAAAAAAAAAAACTATAGGGCGTATTTGGCAGTACTCTATAATCCGACAAATTCGATAGTCCGACACTGCCCTGCAAAACGTTTGTCGGATCACCGGGGGTCCACTGTAATTGAAAGATGGCGAATGTTATAACTTGATTTATAACGTATGACATACGCACAGCTAGTCTATGAAAAGAAAGCATTGGATTAGGCCATTAAACATGATGCTTCAGTATTTATATATTAAATGATGACTGTTAAAGAAGGTTAATATTTTTTTCTTAACGTTGCCACAAAACATCTAAATCAACATTACTCTTTGCACAAAATCTGCAAAAATTGCTGCATAACTGCAAAACTTTGTTGTCTACAAATAAATCTGCAAAACAAATACTCCAAGCCTCGATTATATTGTTTTCGAAGACTTCAAGCTGCTAAAGCTTGACGTTTTTTGGCACGTAATCACGTTGAGTCACGAAGAGAAGTAAAACCATAAAAAACTCTAAAAACACTATGAACGTTTTATGAATGAGTCCCATCGCATTTACTCTTTGTTAGTAAACGATACATTACTCTTTGTTGGTAAATTATTTATTAAAAATGTAAATAAATCAACAATCAGCCTGTAATTTACTATAGTCCATTATTATTATTGTTTTATAATTATGTTTGTTTCTAAGTGCTGTGATGTTACAGTTTTATTGAACGTTGAACTGGATCTAATTTAGTAAGTATTAGTTTGACTTAAACTATTAGGTTAACATATCATAGACTGTCACTGTAACCTATTGGTGACCTATTCTGCGTACTTATTTATTTAAATGTAATCAAATTTTATTCCCTAAGAAGATGTCATTTTACCTTTTAATCTAAACGTATCATTATATTTACTTTTTTGCCTAAGACGTGCTTTCACTGGTTACACACACCGTTTGCTCTATTCACACTGCCCTATACGTGGCCACAGATAATGTGCAGAAAAAAATCGCTCAGTCAAACTGGCCACGGTCCTTGTTTGTCGGCATATAAATACGCTAATAGACACTCTATTAGAAGAATATCTGCGCGCTCAACATGTGTTGATATAAATGAACCTTTAACGAATATATCGTATTTCCCTAGTCGATTGTGCTCGCACACGGTTAACGGGAGTTTGTGGAAAGATATTCGAAAATACAATATTAAGCTCGCGATTTAGATATGCTGCAATTTTTAGCATCATCATCTGTCGTTTTCCAGCTTCGAGCGTTATCTCCACGACTATAATAACTGCCCAAAACTGAAATGTTACAAATAATCATATATTATGATTTATGTATTCTAGAGGTGAAACTGATTGATGTTTGCTGGAGTTTCAGAAAATTGCACAGCCACTGTAACTCTACTCAAAGTGCTTAGACTGATTGGGACGCTGTTTGTCATAGCAGCGGCTGAATCGGTTACCTCAAAACATTCTCCTAATTAAAGTGTTCAATGCAAGACTCGAAATAATATACAGTAAGCAATTAAAATTCTAACATAAATAGGGTATTCTACTCTGTTTGAAATAATACTTGTAACTGTTTATTTTAATTTAAAAAGCCATAAAACAAATATATCCGAAAAATAAATACGTTTTATTGCATTAAAATCAAACCAAAATTTAAACTTTTTATACCCGCCAAAACGCCGTCCGTCATATTCATGACGTCATTGTGATATGTAACGGATGCATAGAGTAGATGATTAAAAGATGCCAATAAAACAAGAACAATGCCAATAAAACAAGAACAATGCCATCTAAATCACGAATAAAAAGATATAAATGAATTAAGAACAGTGCCATCTAGGAATTCGATTTATATTTAATAGGCATATCTTTATGACAAATATGACAACTGTCGCCACAGTGGCGTCGCACAATGGCGAATCATGTTTCAAGTCACGTGACACAGAGACAAAAAAATCACCACTTTTAATTTTAAGATAATAAGATAATCGTGCGATTTTAAGACTCAAAGTCAGAATGTCTATATTTATGACAATGTAGATATTAGTTTTTGTGCAATTTCGTGACTTATTTTTCATTACTGAAACTACCCTATTGATTAGATGCCGCATTGATAAGCGCCTTCGGTAACTGAAGTCTTACGACTTCAGTTCGCACTGGCCCGCATAATGGTTCATTCTCTCCATTAGATTCGATAGGGAAGACCTCTGCCTCAGCAGAGGAGACGTTGATAGGCTGGTAATGATGATATCATTACTCTTATTTTGTAACAATACAAATGTTTTCGTTATTTAACCAGGACCAATGCAATAATCACAAACTTTTGGCCACCCGTCCAATGACTGTCCTTTACAGACTTGCTTAACCTCTGCAATCACAAATCCAACCTAAGACTCTTTGCACTGCGTCATAGAACTGCTCAAGGCATGAAGCATGAATTAATTATATTAAGTTCAGTCAACGGGTCGCAGAGTGGGCAAAGCCGTCTCCAAACTTTAAAAAAAGTGATAAATAATACTCGTACTTATCTACTGCAATACGTTGGAGGTGTTTGTAGGTTTATTAATTGAATTATAGGTGCTTAATAAAAGAGATTGGATTGCTTCTTGTTTGCATTGACTCCGGAACTATTGGACCGATTTATAAAAGTCTTTCATCTACGGGAAGCAAGGTGTTGGACATAGGCTATAATTTACGCAGGCAAATCGCGGGGAAACAACTAGTTTAATAGAATTCAATATTATAGTTCACAATTCAAGAAGAAATCTATTGACAAACCTACTTGAACATTGAAAATACATTCAAAGTACGCAATGTTTAGTTTATTAGCTGTGATACATGAAATACAATAAATATCATCTTAATATTTAACTGATAATATATATGGTGAAAAGTGTATTTTATTTTTGTTATAAAAAAAAAATTGTGGAATCATTTCTCATCATGAGATATTCAATAATAATTGCACGCTTTTACAAGTGACAGATTATCATAACCCCCAAACTAACTAGTATTACCTTGAGGACTTAGGTAAATACCGACAGCATCATTAGCGACTTTCAGATAAGCTGCCTGACAATTCATAAATAATATCCGGAGGAAAGACTTTTTTCGCACTTATCTTCCAATTAGCATTGGAGGCTCATACTACTTAAACATCCTTAAGGAAGACCTAAGACCCTTCTTTTTTGACGCTGAGAAATTCGTTACGCATACCCGCTTCACCCAGCGCGGGCTCCACGGGTTATGTGGGCTAGACAAGAAGCAGGAGTTTACCCACTAAAACTCAGCGATGTCCCTCGCATGGAAGGCGATGTACACCGCGCATAAGAACTAAGACACTGCAGTGGGGACGTAAAACGGTTGATAATGAGACTTTTTCAGACAATGAAGATGAGCCTTTAATTTATTACAATAACCACTCTAAACTGAACTTAAAAATTACAAACAATCGTATTACGTTTTCTAGAGTTATCCTGGTTGATGTTCGCTGGAGTTTTAGAAAATCGTACAGCCACAATAACTCTACTTACAGTTCTTGGACTTATTGGGACGCTGTTTGCAATCATAGCGGTTGTATGGGTTCTCTCAAAATAATATCATCATTATCAAAGTCTTTAATGCAAGATTAGCAATATAATATTCAGTAAGCGATATAATTACTCTAAATTTATCTATACTAATATTATAAAGCTGAAGAGTTTGTTTGTTTGTTTGAACGCGCTAATCTCAGGAACTACTGGTTCGAATTGAAAAATTTTTTTTGTGTTGAATAGACCATTTATCGGGGAAGGCTTTAGGCTATATAACACCACGCTGCAACTATTAGGAGCGAAGAAATAATGGAAAATGTGGAAAAAACGGGAAAAAATATTCATCCTTGAGGGCTTCTATTGCGTACGCTGCGAAAAAGTTTCAAGATACCAAAAATATATGTATGAAAAACTATGTCATGTGTCATGCTATGAATCGATACCCAAATAAACAGCTCCCTAGGGATCGCGCGCGCGAGATTTTAATTATTAATATGGAATTAACGATGTGCTGTTATTGTGATTATTTTTATAGGTTTTCAAAGAAAAACTTTCGGGTCACATGTGTTGTGTAACAGTTCATTCAAACTCTTTGTTTCCAACTTCAAAATGGCAATTAGAGTAAAGAAATATTTATAACTAATGCTGTGCTTAAACTATTTTTTTCACTTGTTGCACAGTTTGAGTTTGGAAATTTATATCATGTTATAAGGATGCAAATCTCTTACATATCCATATGTTTGTTTAAGTAAGAAAATCATTTCGATATAGTATTCACTAACTTTTTACATATTTACTTAATGTGGGAGAGCCACGCTTCGGCATGAATGGGCCGGCTCGACCGGAGTGATACCACGGCCTCACAGAAAACCGACGTGAAGCAACGCTTGTGTTGTGTTTCGTCGAGTGAGTGAGGGTACCGGAGGCCCAACTCCTCCCTATTCCCTTCCCTCTACCCCTCAACCCTTCCCTCCAAGGCCGGCAACGCGCTTGTAGCCCCTCTGGTGTTGCAGGTGTCCATGGGCGACGGTAATCACTTACCATCTGGTGATCCGTCTGCTCGTCTGCCCCCTATCACATAAAAAAAAATATATTTTTATTTAATTCTGCTGTCGCCTTAATGTAAAAAAGTCGTAAATAAAAAAATACCGGATTGCTATGATTTGCCAGATAGTTGTCGCGACTAAGAACGCTGTCATCAAGCACAATGCGATTAATCAGTTTTGTTTCAATAACCATTAGGTGTAAATTACAGTGCGCTCCTCTACATTGGTGAGCTATATTACTTGAGTTTTTGTTTACAATTATATCTACTTCTTATTTTGTAGATAATATTTAAAAATATGCAAGAACTACAAACAGAGAAGGAGAAACCGCATATGCAACCGACGCAAGATGGACCTTTTAGGATTCGTGGATCAGTTTATGGTGAAAGTTCGTGTCTTGGAAGGAATTTTAAATATATAATAATCTGTTTGGTGATTATAACTGTAGCCGGTATTGTGGCTTACGTTATTCTGTATCTTCTCAAATATATTACGTAATGAATTGACTTGTCTTTTGCTTTTAATTATATTTTTATCGATATATCGTTTTGTTTACTACACTAGCTACAAGGTAGCACAGAAAAAGTAAAAACGTTAGAATGATAATGATAACTTACTAACATTAGTAATAAGACCGCGCGTGCCAGATATCGCTCAGACATAAATCTTCACCTATTCAGCTCAAAAAGAGAGTGATGCTAACATTGGCTACAATATTTCCAGCAAAATATTTGAATGGTCAAAAAAAAACCTTCGGTATTTCTGTCAATCCCAAAAAATGTCAGGTCATCATTATCGGTAGCCGACAAATATCGCAAACTAACCTCAACACAATTCCAGCTGTTGCTTTTGCTGGCTCGGTGATTCCTTATACTGCTAAGGTAAAAAATCTTGGGCTTATTCTGGACAGTATTTTGCACTGGGATGATCAGATGGATAATGTATGCAGTAAAATCCATTGCATCCTCGGCTCGCTTTATCGACTTAAGAACTTTCTCCCTTCCCGTACTAAGTAAGTCTTTGTACAGTCCCCTTTTTGACTATGCTGATGTTTGTACTTCAGATATCAATTAAACCTCTCTCAATAGATTGGATCATCTTCTGAACAATACAATTCGTTTTGTTTTCGGTCTGCGCAAATATGACCACATCTCCAATTTCGTCAACATCGTGGCTTCCATTCGGGAGCGTCGGTACTTAAGGAATGTTTGCATACTTTTCCAGATACTTTTCGATCTACGAGCACCTGAGTATTTGAAATCCTCGGTGCCTCTCACCAGAAAAATCTTCGTTTCAGTAGTAGACTAGTACTTCAAACCCCTTCTAACCATTCTTTTTTGGGTCTCTTTCCTTCACTCTAAACGCCATCCGTATTTGGAATGCACTGCATTTGAACCTCCAAAGTGCTTCTAACAAATTTGCCTTCAAGACAGCGGCTTGCAATTTCTACCATGCTTCAAACAAGATTTCTTGATCTGACACCAGATTTTGTTTTGTACTTTGTGTTATAGTATGTATGCATTTATTTACGTATGTGTATGTATATCTATTATTGTAATGTTTTAAACGTGATGTTTTAAATTGTTGATATATGTGTGTATAACTGTTATGTTTTTAGATCATACAAGAAAGGTAAGTTTGTAAGAAATTTAATACAGCATATACAAATATAAAATAATGAATAATTAATTCTGAAATGTATTAGACAACTGTTTTAGTTTTAACTGATTAGGTATAACAGTTTTTCACTTTCCTGATTACAAATGAGGTCTTAAGCATTCCACTAATTGAATAAATAAGAATGCGGAAATTGGCAACAAATCCTTCATCATATATTTGTATAGCACAAAGTACTTAAAAAAATAGAAATACAACAGTAAATACAATAAATTAAAAATTTAAAAATTCAGCACCGCATTCACCGCTTAATATCCTTTTTTTTTATATAAAAAAATGGGGGAAATATGCTATTATCGATACTTTCGATAAGTATCGAAAAAAAGTTTGCTTATCCCTACTCTTGGTCTGCATTTGTCATAGAGAAAATTTTTATAGCATTTGTCTTTGTTATCATGGCGAGATCGTATTCGACACACTGAAGCCGTGGAATCTGAAGAATATTTTAAATAAAATAATAACAATTTGTGAAAATAGTAAAATTTAATTAAGACTATTTATGAATGCAAGTGATTTGTGTTTAACATCCTGTGATGTGCGTGTGACGTGTATGTAATGTTGACGCATTGATTATTTGCCTAGCGTGGTGAATAAAATGACGCAGTTTTTACCTCCGAATTTGCTCGCTTTGTTCGCGGCACGCGATCCCATCCCATATCTACCACCAGCGGCAAAGCTCCCACACGAGAAGAAACAGAAAGGCTACGATGGAGTCGGCGCATTCCTTAACATATTCGAGGTTAGATTTTCTTTCGTCGTAATTTTTGTTAGTTTGATTTAATGTTTTCAATATTCTTTTAATATACATATATAAATACAGTGGCGTAACTACAGGGTGGCAAGTCGGCAAAATGCCACGGGCCCCCAGCTGGATGGGGCCCCCGGTAAGAGGAGACTCCATGCTCCTGACATTTATCATTACACGATTAGTAAAAAAAAAAATAGAATGTCAGATGAATTTGCCACGGGCCTCAAACGGTATAGTTACGCCACTGTATAAATACACTGTATTTCCTGTCATGTATTCTATATTCCTGTAATTTTGACTATACCAGTATTGTTCTATTAAAAAAATGGGTCGCTCGTTCCATGACTAGCCATCGCTGATATGCGAACCACTGACATGCTTTACTGACATTCCTTAAGTGCTTGTAACCGCCTGATTAAATCAGTGGTTCCTAACTTATTTAAACGGGTGGATCAGCTATTATGTACTTGGGTTTTTTGGCAAAATCATAGGTTTCAGGCTTTCCTTTTGGATGGAATCAAATCAAATCTAATATGGAGACTTTTGCCGCAAACTAAGTTCAGATTGGTGGGTGTTAATGACTGCAGATGCAGCCGTGACCAACAACTTAACATGCCATCCAAAACATGGTAGATACATAAAATATTACTTTATTCATCCAGACTTTGTTATAGCATATTAAAGTAAGCGGGTGCTTGGCTTTTTTTACTTGACATGCAACCCTCCCCTCTTTAAAAAGTTAGAACCACTCGTCTAATAGGCTATTTTGACAGCATCCATCAGAAACACCCCCACCCACTCGGGTGGAAACACGGGAGGAGCGACTGGAGAGAAAGAGACGTGAACGAGCAGAACAGACGGCGTACAAGCTGGAGCAGGAGATAGCGCTGTGGGATCCGTCCACCAACGCCAGAGCAACCACCGATCCGTTCAAAACGTTATTTGTGGCTAGGATTGTGAGTACAGTACAGTTATTCTTTTAAAAGTTCATATTTTGTGTCTATTTATTTGGTTAAAAAGCTTTTATTTATTAATTAATAGTAGTGCTCTGTTTTATTAACTTTCGGTTCGTAATTATCCATAGTTACTGACAACAATTATTTCAATGCAGAAAATGTTATAATTGAATCAAATTCTGTTATTCTTTAAATGAAAACTATATATGTATATATTTTATTTTGTAAATCTATCTGAGACAATTTCCTATATCAGAAAAACTACATTTGTTGGTTGTTTGAAAATGATTCACATTTAATTACTAGTCCTAAAGTACATACAGAAAAAGTTTCTGTAGAGTTTTATAATTATTAAGGTATAAATAACACAATAGTATGAACTCTGATTATGACACTTGCACCGTTTACCACATATTTTTCATTTACACACAACCAAAGAGTGAAGTACTCCTATCGAAGTCAAGTTGAAGTGAAGAAAAATTACTAGGCAGAATCCCAATTTCAGATTTTATAAACCATTTACCATTCATAAAAATGCACTGACATATTGCTATGCTCTCCATAGTCAAATACACTAAGGTTCATACTTGCTGACCACCCGTGGATGTTGATAACAGATTAAAAAATGTTTATTAAGCTGGTTTGGGAGCAAAGAACCTTTGATGCCATCACACATTTAGTTTACATCAACAGAATTTATTTGTAAGATAAAAACTAATAATAATTACATGTTTTAACGGCCACGGTGGCCAGTGACATAGAGGACAACACAGTCTTTCACTCTACGGTTTTCATTGTCGACCACGGAAGGGGTCTGCTATATAAGTACTATGATTTGAGTCCCCTTTCTTGGCAAACATGTTAATTTATATTTTAAATTAATTTCCTTTTGAATCACCCTATCTATGAAAAAAAAACCACATCATAATCTGTTGATTGAACAAATTGTTCTAGAATTTTTTATATAAAGTTGAGTCTAGTTTTATAACTGTTATTTTCCTTTACAGAATTATGACACATCAGAATCAAAACTCAGAAGAGAATTCGAAGGATATGGACCAATAAAAAAGGTTTGTATATAGTCATAATAAATAAACCAATGAGATGCATGAGGTGCTCAAGAAAATAAATATTTGGCCACCCATCTTTTGGTAGGCCTTTGAGAAGCTGAACTTGCGCATCTTGCCCTGTATACGTCTTTTTTGTGTAGTATCATTTCTGTTATCTTAATTATATACAAAATTAAATGAATTACCATAACTATTGTACACTATTAAGAAAAAGAAGACAGTACAATCGACAGTCTTATAGCTAAAAGGCAATTTCTTTTAGGGAACCGTAGATTAGGCTTGACTATTATTTAAATAGATGGTAGTGTCTCTCATGGCGAGAAAACATGTTTTCATACATAATTGTAACAATCCTGATGAACTCCGTAGCGGAGTAGTTCGCACGCCGGTTTTGAAGATGCGTCGCCATCTTTGATGTCTCGGGTTCGTTTGTCTTGTCAGGACAATGTAGGGGACTTTTCTGTATCGTCTCAGGTCTGGGTGTTGTGGTACCTTCATTATCCTATATCCAGTGGTCTTATTGTTAAATTTCAAAATCTATCTTAATCCATTGCAAAATTATGGCGAGTGTGATAGCGATTTTGGAATTATGTTATCGCTTTCGGAATAAATGATGATTTGAACAATAAAGAGACATTAAAAAGAGTAACTTAAAAGTAATATTCACATCTAATGCTTCCATTAGACAGTTCCAATTAACGTTGTAATAACGACATGTTAAATTTAATATCTGAAAGGAAAAACGTGGCGATCCGAACCGCTATCACATGTTAAATATCTATAGCGTAAATTTTAAAATTATACAATTTATACTTATATAAATAATTATTCTGCACAATATGGAGGCTTCAGCTATTAATCTTGGAATCTGACCAATGTACATGATGTTGTTTATTAAAATACTAATAGCCGTTTGTTTGTTGACAGATATTCATGATATTTAACAAGGAGAACGACAAGCCTCGCGGCTACGCCTTCATAGAGTACGAACACGAACGCGACATGCACTGTGAGTATACCAACACTAACCTCACACGTTATAACGACGGGGAGGAACGGACTGTACACAGTACTACACTACACATTGTAAAACTACACAATACTACCCTACACATTGTTAAAATGCATAATACTACCCTACACATTGTAAAACTACATCACACTGTACATTATAAAGAAACATTGATCTATAGCAATAATACATAACCAGGTCAATTAGGACTCCGCTTTAGCTTAATGTTTTAGTGTTGCTGGCTAGGCTTGTTTAGAGCGCGACAATATGAAGTAGCTGTTAGATAGTTAAAATTGAAAAAATATAAAAATAAGAATCAGATAAAGATGAAAATATATTTTAGCTTATACAAGAACTGTATACAACAAAGATATTCCTGAACAAAGAATGAATAGCCATAATACAAAAACTACTACAATTACTACAATTCACATTATAATTTTACATTACATATTATTACACTACAAAATACTACAGTACACAATGTGTACTTCACTTTTGTTTATATTATTAAAACAGTTGTAATACAAATAAGTCTATATAACCTTAGAAACATTTTTAGCTTTCTATCATATCATCATAAGATATTAACTAGTTCTGATTTTTTCCCATGAAAATCAATAAATAAGTCATAGTTTATTTTTGGCACTTTAGTTTTTTTTAAATACGTGTAAAGGAACGACAATTCAACGTCTTTTTTTTTTTAAATCAAGAATTGATAGAATTGTGTTATTCTAAATAAACCTTAATAAATATCTATAATTACGTAGTTATATTAAAATAATATGAAATATTAATAGTACTGAATACTTAATGCCATACTATTTATTGTTCGCTTATTTTTTGCTACAATAGCGATGCCTATTGAAAACGAGTTATTGCCTTCCCTTTCACGCCTTTTGTGACCGAGACTAGCCACGACGCGAAGCGCACGTCGTTCGCTCGCTCCATACGATTGTATGTGTTTATATGCGCGTGCGCCGATTGTTTTTTAATTATTATCACAGCACAGCCTTTTAAATATTCCCTGATTAACTCTGATTTTTCTAAAAGGTATAGGATAGCGATTTATGGAATTGAATAGCCATAATGGCTTTTGGAACCAATGACGATTTGAATGCTCGAGAAACATTATTACCCTTAGTTAAATATTTAATAATTGTAAGTGTTTGTTTTAGTTCAAGTAACCCATAAAACAAATATTTCATGAAAAATAAAAGCGTTTATTTGCCTTAAATTTAAATCAAAGTTTAAACTAATTTTGTACCCGCGAAAAAGCTGTACGCCATATTCATGACGTCACTGTGATATGTACACAAAACAGAGCCACAGAGTAGCAGATTAAAAGATGTTAATAAAACAACAACTGTGTTACATCTAACGGTCGATTTCGAAATAAAAAAGATATAAATAAGTTAAGTTAAGCTATCTAGGAATTTCATCTATAATAAACTAGCTTTTGCCCGCGTTTCCGCCCGCGTGGACTAGTTTTAAGTTCAGAAATGAGAAAATTCCATAAAAACTTTCTACCCCTAATTTACCCCCTTAGGGGACGAATTTCGTAAAATCCCTTAGTGACCACCTACGTCCTAAAAAGACCCGGCATGCAAAATTTGAAAGTGTAGTAACGAAGTTTCATACAAACTTTCATCCCCTAATTTAGCCCCTTCAGGGTGGAATTTTCAAAATCCTCTCTTAGTGCTCCTTCACACTCCCTAAGAAATCTTCATTCCAAATTTCAACTTTCTACGCTTAGCTTCGGCTGTACTTTGTAACGCATGAATATTATATACCTATATAGATAGGTGTTATTTACGACTAATCTAACAGCTGTTGCCAGAGTGACGTCACAAAATGGCGGATCGTATTACAAGTCACGTGACACACATACAAAAAACCTCGACTTTTAAATTCTAAAATAATCATGCGGTTTCATGACTCAAAATCAAAATCTCTATTTTTATAACCATTTAAATTTTAGTTTTGTGCAATTTCTAGACTTCTTTTCACTACCGAAACGGTTAGTTGAGGAACCATTGTAAAACTTTATAATCTACCAACATTTGGAATTTCATGTTAACATTATATAACAGGCTAGACAATACTATATACTGGTGTATATTACTATACTGTATACAAATCTGTGGTCCGTTCCCCCCCCCCTGTTTTACTGTAGTAGTCATACTTTTATACAATATTTTCGTCAAGAATCTTTTGAAATTGCATTTGGGACTAAAAATATTCCTTTAATTATATTATAAAACTGTTTTAATTAAATTTTACCTTATATGTATATTTGTCTGTAAACTAGTAAGTAGGCATTTCGTTTTCATTTATGACTTGTTGTCCCCGTAACTCTGTCCACGTAAATTATATAATGTAGTGTTCGGTAGGTGGAAGAATTTTTAAAATTGCTCCAGTAGTTTCGGTTAGCAAACAAATAATCGAAATTTTTCTTAAAAAATATATTTTATTAAAAAATATATATATGTTTAAAATATACGTTTCATAATATTCTTGACAAACAAAGACAAATCTGTTTGTTGCCAATGGATTTGTGATGGCTTAACCTTTTTGGAGGAGCCTTTTTGTTTTTTGTTTATTTATTTTTTTCATATACATTTTGTGCTTCTGAAAAACTTATTATGCTTAAAAATGTCAATGAAAAATTATAAGCCTCACCAGATTTATAAGTCCAGCCACAACATATCATATGATTTTTACAAAGTATTTTGGATTATAATTCTGGTGTAAACTGGTGATTTTTATAATGTAACATTTATTTAATTTATTTGATATTTTAATATTTATGTAATTTATTTTATTGTTATTTTATCCCCATGAATTGCGGTTTTTTGATATTGGAAACGGTTGATTCGTGCTGTCTTTTTTACTTTGTACCATGTGAAAAAAGGCTAGCATTAGTTTTTATATATTTGAAGTTAATTTAATTATTACTTTTGCCACTTTTTCGAGTCGACAGATGCATAATTAAGAAGATAGGTATGACTATATTAGAAATAAAATGACTTACATTTATTTATTTAAACACTTAACATTTAAATTTTTCATATGGCAACACTTCTCCAAAAAGGTTGGCCATGAGGTGTCCGAAGCCTCAAAAAGTTGAGAAATTAATTATTAAAAGTATACATATATACATTTGAGTATGTAAAGTCGTCGGTTACACAACGTCTGATGTATATGATTAATAAGAATTTTTCTATTCCGACCAGAGACCCAGCCGTATGACCCTTCACTTCAGTATACCGGCCAAGTTATTAGGTTTGTATGTGGTGGTAAGAGACCAACATACAACTATATATATATAATCTTAAAAAAACACGAGTAAAAATTTTTTGAGAAAAAATCCTTTTTGAAATTTTTTGAGATTTTTTTTTGGTAAAAATAAAAACTGTAGTATCGTTGTCAATGTCCTAGTAGTAAGCGCAACGTAAGTAATATAAGCGCATCAAGTCTTGGGTTTTTCAACATGGATTCGGTAAAAAAAAATGAGTATAAAAAAGTAAGTAAAGCCGGATGTGGATTATGTAACTAAAAAGTAAGTAATATTGTGACGGTAGGTATTGTGATACGGTGGGTATATTATTTAATTTTTTATTTCGTATATGCGACGTGTTTGCGGGTTTTGTGTAATGTAACTTGTAACAGTCATTGTGTACTTGAAAAAAGGTAAAGGGATCTGGGCAATACGGTCTACTCTTAGGCATCTTACCGTCGTTTTTTTTTTAAATCAGAGCCAATTAAATTGGTTCGCTAAATTATATACTAATCAAAACTGGTTATAAATAAAAACAAATACATAATAAAATATACGGATACCATTGCGTGACTCATCCTTTCCCGCTGAAAAGTTTTTATAAATCAAGTATCGTATGCGATAGTTTTTGTAAGTATTAAAACCTTATGAGGGGCATTTATATTAAAACCGTTACCTTTTAAGGGGTCGGGCGCGGGTTAATTTAAATATTATATATATATAACTAGCTTTCCGCCAGCGGCTTGATCTTGTAATATAAAAAAAAACCTTCGGCCCGCGTGCTCTTGTATTATACATAAAAACCTTCCCTTTGAATCACCCTATATATGAAATAAATTCGCATCAAAATCCGTTGCGTAGTTTTAAAGATTTAAGCATACATACGGATATAGAACTGATTTATAATAATTCGTAGTTTAAAATTATAAAACATAATCGAAAATTGAATAATGAAAAGAATCGGTGGGTAGTTGTATAATAATCAAGGTGGGTAGTTGAACTCTTTGACCGTTGAGGTATATTACACATATCCGTCAATACCTCGTATATAATAATAATAATAAAATTATTAGTCTTTGGAGTCTGTCGGCTTGGTCGGTAGGTATTATTGTTTAATTGTGTCCTTTACAGGTTTTATTAATTATCAATATAAAAATGGATAACAAAATGTTTCGGCATATTGAGAATTAAAAAAAAAACAATATATTGAAGCAGGTTTGATACGGCATTTTTATTATTATTATTAATGTAAATTATATTTGTAGTTTGTATGGATTTTTACGGTCTAGATAAAGAAAATCCATACGTGGCGATTTAATATTTTTTTTCCTTTCGTGCGCGTCTGTTTTTTCGGATTTTAAAGACAATAATCGGATGGCATTCATTTATTACGTAAGACCATTTAGGGGGAGGACTTAGTCTTGCTTTTCTTACGTTGGGAATTGTGCGTAGTTTCTACGTTGGAAAATGCGTAAAACTAAGATTAAATAAAAAAACTGTTTTTGGGAAATATAATAGAACGATACTTTTGAAAAAAAAAACGAATGAATCCCCCTCCCCCTCCCCAGATAATAATTATTACGCAAAAAATATTTTTTTCGTAATAATTATTATCTAGGGGGGGGGGGAGGGCATTCTTATTAAAGGGCGGGTACAAAAAATCGTCTTCCTTAATAAATGAATGTCTTTTACTACGATTAGCAGTCGGGAAATGCTATTTTCAATCTCACGTGATTACGTGACTGATCGACACGTGACTAGATAAGTGGGAAGCACATTTTTATCTTAATTTCAAGTGATCTTATCACGCGCGTGTAAACACCAACACAAGGAACGAGCTAGCTAGTGTATTCATGAATATATCCTTGTGTTTACACGCACACGATCGCTTTGAATTAATTTAAAGATGCGCTTTCGGCTCATCCACTCGGGTGCGTGCGGACCGGTCGCGTGAGGCTACATGCGTGTGCGTTGTGCGTGTTGCAGCGGCGTACAAGCACGCGGACGGGAAGAAGATCGACGGCAAGCGCGTGCTGGTCGACGTCGAGCGTGCCAGGACCGTCAAGGGCTGGCTGCCGCGCCGCCTGGGTGAGGGGGCCATTCACTATACTATATACAGATAAGGGGGGTGAGGGGGAGTAGGGGGGGGGGAGTAGGGGGAGGGGGGATTATATTAGTAAGCCGCAAAACCGAAAGTGTTTTTATTACATTTCGATGAATAATTCCTATAAACGTACATGGTAACAAATATGGTGTTCCTTAGTCAATTTATACGGAAATAAGTTTTTTTTTTTTATAAATATAGAGATTTTTCCACTCTAAATGTCAGTTTTGGTTTTGCAGGTTACTATGTGATTGCTTTCCAGCGTTGATATTAGCTCGATAGGAAACAAATGGCAAAGGTTACTCTGAATAGGTTCTTCAATTTTTCATTTTATATAAAAAAAATAGGTTTTCATGACTTAAGTGTATGAAATCAAGCAAGCGCGTTTTTACTCTGGATGCATATTTGTTTGGACACGTAAGCAAAGGACCTTAAGTCGTATTGTTTAATTGCAATATAGATCACGATCCCTTTCAATTTGATATTTAAAAGATATCCATGAACTTGACGCTACAAGTGTTTGACACATGATAACGTTGCTATAACAATATGAATGATTCAAACTAATAATTTAATGAAGTCACCAGTACAATGTCTCGAGCTATTTATGTGTGTGGTTGTTGAAATGAGTAACCATTCTTTTTCCAATATTTATGGTGGCCTTAATCCCATTAGATGGTCTCTTTGAGTCATCTGGAAGGTTGACTTAGAACGTTATTATAAGTGCTGAAGTAAATTTTCTCTGGTACTGAGCTGATTTTAATGAAGTTTTCTATAGCGATAGAATCGCCTGTGGGAAAGGACATTACCTTTTATAGTGGAAAAAAATGCGTTAAAAATATGTAATATAGTCTGAAATTTCGATATTGAAAGTGACTTCATTATGCACACAAAGTCTTGGGAAAAGCTTAATTTGATGTCACCGAAGATTGATAATTCTCCAATAGTAGCTGTTTATCTAGAAATTTATTTATTAGAAGGCTCATATAATAAAAAGGCTCACATATTAAGTTCTATTGAATCATGCTAATGTTTACAATTAACTTAAAAGTCAATTATTCACTTTAGTTTGCATTAAAAGTAAATAATTTTTATATAATAAATTATTACGAGTACAATTTCATAAATTCTGCTAATGTAGTTGTGTGGCTGTGTACGTGTGCGTGACTGATTGTGTACGCATGCGTGTACGATTGTGTACGTGTGCGAGTGCGAGGTGTACGTTAGGGATGGGCAAATAGGAAAAAATGTCGATATATATCGTGTGGATATTTTCAAATGTATCGATAAATATCGACAAAAATATATCAATATGTTGATATCGATATTTTCTGCGTATTAAGCGATTATAGATGAAAATTTTAAGATATTCGAAATTTTGAAGCAAATACACATCTGGTTGTTTTGACATCAGTTTTATTATTTAAAATAGGTACATAAAGCCAAGAAAATAACATTATCAACACGACAAAAATTAGATTATTCAAAGAAACGAGTATTTGATACTGATATCAGGAGCACACTCAGTGATACCAACCAAACCAAAAAGCAGTCTCATTGTCATAGACAAACAAAAGAGACAAGCAGGTCATAGACTAAAGTCATACAGCCTACTGTCTACTTACTATTTTTTAAATTTAAGAATACATGATGTGACGCACGAGCAAACAGCAGAGCTTTAAAAAAATTATCGATTTTGATACGAATTTGATATCTGAAAATACATATCGAAAGCTGATATATCGCGAGAAAAAATATCGCTGATTTATATCTTTTTTTTTTAGAAAAAAATATCGGTATTTTGGTATATCGATAGTTCTTGCCCAATCCTAGTGTACGTATATTTGTGCGATTGTGTACGCATGCGTGTGCGAGTGCGTTAATATGGCCACACCAATTTTTTTCATCAACAGCAGGAGCTGCTCTCAATAAATATTTAGATGTAAGCATCCATTGTCTCTTCTTTGGACATAATGAAACTCGGTGATGCGGTTATAGCTTGTATTTCATTGATTTACATTAAAAACTTTAAAAAAAGTCGGAGCTAATTCATAGCCCATACTCGAACAGAGAGAGTGTGAAAAAATCTGACTGTAGAATTGTGTGAACGGTGCGGTGCGCTTTTAAATGTGAATCTTCTGATGAGCCAGAGATTGCTGTACAAGAATGCGTAGGTGCAATCATTTATTATTATATAAATATACTACTGTACTAGGGTGAGTAGGTATGTAACTCTGTTTATTATATATATACTAGTGTACTAGGGTGAATAGGTATGTTACTCTGTTGGGGTCTTGAAGAGTGTAGTTGATAGTAGTTTGGATAAAGTTGAATAATAGTTCAAGTTAAACACTGCACTGTGTAAATAGTTAAGTTTATTTTATTAGTAGATAAGTTTAGTTGGTAGATACATGAGCTGATCAAGTATAAATTACAACTAACTTTAATGTCGATACATATTATATACTTAGATTATTGACCGCACGCCAAAGTGGGTTGCACGTCAGCAGTAAATATAAATTAGTAATTGTACGTAATCGACATACTTAATTGTAATCGTCCGTGGGAGAGCCACGCTTCAGCATGAATGGGCCGGCTCGACCGGAGTGATACCACTGCCTCACAGAAAACCGACGTGAAGCAACGCTTGCGTTGTGTTTCGTCGTGCGAGTGAGGGTACCGGAGGCCCAACCCCTCCCTATTTTTTTATATTTTTTTTATTATGCAGGTTCCTCCACTGTTTAGTAGAATGTTTTTTTTGCTTTTTTTGGTTTTTTTTTGCTTGTATTTTGGTTTTTTCTTTACACAGACTTTATTAGTCTGTTTTATGGGGATTGCTCTTTTTCCCTCTTTTCCATCTTCACTTATTGTCTATTACATTGTTTTATATCTAATTTACATTTTTCTTATATTAATTACATTTCTTAAAATTATTTACATTTTCATTTATTTATTTGCATTTATTTATTTATTTACATTTTAATTTTACATTCATACATTTTTAATTTACATTTTTATTATTTTCTATACACTCATATTTTACTAACAGGTTGTTTACTTAATTCTAATATCACAATTTCTTTTGCTGTTTTGTATTACATCTATTTATTTCTTCAATCTTTATTCCTCTTAACATTTTTTTTAATAAAAGCAAACAATTTAACAATTAAAAAAAAAAAAAAACCCTTCCTATTCCCTTCCCTCTACCCCTCAACCCTTCCCTCCAAGGCCGGCAACGCGCTTGTAGCCCCTCTGGTGTTGCAGGTGTCCATGGGCGACGGTAATCACTTACCATCAGGTGATCCGTCTGCTCGTCTGCCCCCTATCCCATAAAAAAAAACATACTAGTGTACCGGGGTGAGAGTGGGTGTAGTAGTGTGTGTGTAACTGTACAGGCGGCGGCCTGGGCGGCACGCGGCGCGGCGGCGCGGACGTGAACATCAAGCACTCGGGCCGCGAGGACAACGAGCGCGAGCGCGAGCGGTACCGCCTCGAGCAGCACCGCGGGGACCGCGACCGGGACCGGGACCGCGACCGGGACCGCGACAGGGACCGTGAGTTGTTCATCGATTGTGTTATGGCTCTGTCACTGTCTCTCAGTGAGCTGTCATTTTTATTTTGATATTGACACGCGCTCAGAGCTATTTTTTTTGTTTTATTTAAATTCAAAATTTACATATTTTATTATTGTTTCTATACGTGTAAAGACCACAAACGTGACATTAGCGGAATTGTGTAAATGCAACAAGAAGAAGAAGATGACATTCGTGCCAATATACCGCTCGGGTGAAAATTGACACATCTTTGGAATTAGTTAAAAATGCGACAAAAACAAATAAGCCAGATGAAGTTGTATTTGATAGTAGTTACTTAAATTGTTTTTGTGTGTTTATTAATATTAATGAATATTAAATATTAAACGACACCACATGCATTGCTTATATTTCGAGATGAGGAGCTAAAGCCCCCTTACTATGGAGTACCCGAGACAACTAAGATACCACAACACCCAGACCCGAGATAATATTGAAAAGTCAATTTTCCTATATCGACCCGGCAATCGAACCCGGGATCTTGGAGACGGCGGGTGAGCTACATTTTATTCAACAGCCATACAAAAGGTCACAGTCGAACGAAATGGAATTACACATAAATATATATGTTTAAAACTGGCCCATCCTTATGTAAGAACAGGTATAAATAAAGCCAGTGTTGCTTTGAATTTGAAAGGTATCGCGAGTCTCAGGGTAATATATTGGTGCCGCGCACCTCCGTAAGCGCGATGCAGAACACAGAAAAGAGGTTGGAAAGGCGATCATGCATCCTTTGTACGAAAACCGATATCGGCAGTCTTGCCCCACTTTTCGTCCGCTTTACATCAGACGAAATATTAGACCAATTATACAAAAGATATGCACACACTTGCATTTTAAACATGCCAATCAGAACGCTCCAATATAACTATAACCAATCACGCTCAACCATAACAGACATCTATAGTGCGCAATAAACGTGTAATAGCCATTTTAATTTGACATATCACACTAGTGATTGACATAAAGTTATTCACTATCAATATTGAAAAACAACAAGTCGATTAATTGAAAGGATACTAGATTAATGATTTCTTTATATTATTTTGTATATACATTGAATTGTATTGATTAAATGTGATATTATTTTTTTTCTTAAGATATTAATTAGTTGGTTGATTCAGTAAGAAATATTTAAATCACTTGCTAATAATGAATTAACATTGAATCGGTTGAAATAGCGCCAGCGTGGTCGGGAGAAATGATACTATGTTCCAGGTTGAATAATTATATTTAACTAAACAATATTCGTCTTATATACTACTTAAATCTAAGAGGGGGATATTAAGGTACGTGATATGTAATTGCTAAGGAAGCACATTTATCGAACGTGAATTATTTGCATATTAGTGCATTCTATCGAGATCACGTTCACAACATGATTCTTAATATCAACATACTACACGGTACTATTCGTGCTTAAATATTTATTTGCATATAAGTATGTTTGTTTATAAATAATAATAGTAGGTATTTATTTACGTTACGTTACTCGATTTCGTATCAAGTAAACAGATAAGATCGGCAACATCGCTTAAATGTAACTAGTAATATTGACAAACAATATAATGTAAATAAATATATACAAAATAAAATAAAAAATAATATAATTAGTACAATAAATGCTATTTGAACTTATCCCCAAGGAATTTCGGCGATTTAAAAAGTATTATTGTTAATGATTTAAAATAAAAAATCTAATTTTCTGTTACAATGTAAGGCATATAAAAACAGATCCTTTAGCTACATCACACTCATAAAGTTACCATATATATAAATGCATACCAAACGAAGTCAATATGGTAGTCTAAAATAGGGTTACAATTTACTTATTCTTAATATTTTATTAAATTTATCTTTTATTAACATTATTTTTATCGTCCTTATTTTGTTTTTACTGACTAACAACACACAATTAATCGATTAAATGTTTCCGTGGCACTTCACTAGCGATCTACTGTAATCTGTTAGGTTACTATTTAGAACGGTCGCTCTCGGAGCTTTTTTATTTTATTTAAATTCAAAATTGACATATTTTGTTATCGTTTCTTTACGTGTAAAAACAACAAATGTGACATTGGCGGAATTGTGTAAACGCAAATGGGCCATGAATTAAAAAAGAAGATGTCGCGATGATCTTAACATTACTTGCTTAGTATGACGAAATGTAATAAATATTCGTATTTTTTGTGATTCACACTTTTGATAAAATTTCCCGAATTTCGACTAAAAAATAGTAAATTCGAGAAGCGCTCTACTTACTAATAAGAAAAGAAATCCTTCTTTTGGACCTACACGGGGATCGGCTTGTTGTTTTGCAATCAATAACCGCGTAAGTCGGCCAGCATCTTTAACACACAAGGTGGTCATAATCCTGTACATTTGTCCAGGGTCGAGGCTGCGCTCGGCCATCGCCCTCGTAACATCTTTCTGTGTTCTGTAGACCAAACATCGCGGTCGCGTCAATCACGCGAGGCTCGAAGGGATGGGTTCGTAAAAATCACGAAATTTTTTTTCCTCAAACGCGCGATTACTAATCAGAAAAGCGGCGTCAAAATATTAAGACCTTTTTTGTAGGTACTAAAAACTGCACTTGATTTGGGTGTATGGGGGGGGGGGAAGTCTTAAATCTCACCATTTATTACCAAGGGGGGGGGGGGTTTAAAAATGCTGAATGAAACGTCCCCTAACGTGTCCCCGTGTCCCCATGTGCAGGCCGCCGCCGGTCGCGCTCGCGGTCGCGGCGGCGCTCCCCCGCGCACGCGCCGCACCGCCGCGACCGCGCCCCCGACGACAAGGACAAGGACAAGGAGGACAGGTCAGTGGGGACTGAACACAGGGACGAATTAACAATTAAAGGCTGACTAAACTTTGACAATTGATTTATTTTATGGTAATAACGGGTAAAGAATAGAAACAATTTTGGGTTTATTAATAAAAACCTGGACGCTACTACAGGACATAATTTTATATATATATATATATATATATATATGTCGCAGGGTAGTCCGAAGGGCCTATTACGAAGCCCAAATAGATGGTCCATATCGGGGGACTATCTTTAAAATAACACTGCAGACGTGTATACCGACGTGGATTTGTTCCATTTTATCACTTTTCACACGAAAATATAACGAGATGAGCGTGATGTCGTCGGATGTGTTTACTCCTCGGCGATCGGAAACAGAATGTGTGCCAAAATGGCGGCAATTTGGTTTTTATAAACGAACTGTCAAAGTCAGTGTCACCATTCTAATAAAATTAAAAGTATCGATGATCACGCTCTCTCTACAATTGAGATTAAAATAAAAGAAACTAAATCAAACGATCTTCGTAATGATGATGCGACATATATAATTTCTATTTTAATCGCATATCATCATTAGTATAATATTTATATTTAAAAATGTTATGTTCACAACAGAAGATTTTTTTAAAAGCTTAGTCAAAATAAAAAGAAATGCTGTTGAATATCAAAAATAAAAAATTTGCATGCGGGAAACCTAGGATGAAATAAACGGTAGTGCGTACGGCACACCGTCACAGGAGGAAAGGCACAATCATTATGTGACACCTACTTACGTTATGACCAGAGGTCGGAATTAGGTAAAGTTATTTATGTACTTGCATCGAAATGTTGATATCAATGTGGACCTTCCCGGGATTTCTTTATTTTTTCTTTCTTTCATTGATGTAAGTTTGGCAACGTCGTGCGTGCAGTAGTTTAAATTGTGTAAAAGTAAATAACTTTTTATTTAAAAAATTACGGGATTTTATCTGCTCTTTAAAATTAATCTCGGGATTTGAGGCATATCCACTTTATTCTTTCGCTGTATGAAATCAGTGTAAGTACATGAATAACTCTACCTAATTCCGACCACTGGTTATGACATATTTATTGATGTAATAGTTCTTATGTTTGTGTATGGAATAAATAAAAAATTAGCAATTATATCAACCATGCAAATTTATAAGCTACATGTAGCTATTATTTGGTTTCTAACAGCTACATTTTAATGAAAGTTGTAGTTAAATTAGGGTTGCCATAAATTCTGAAGGCCCCGTTGGGACATTTACAATTTTTTTTGTATTTGCTGCACGGGAGTTTGTTAAAACGAAGCGTCATGTCCGGGAATACTAAAAACGTATTCACAAATTTTCTTAAATTGCTTAAGCCCATGTGACGTTTCAATCTTAAATATCGTCACCCATTTTTGAAGGATTCTTTTTGCCCGCCATTTTTCAGTTTCAACAATAATCAAAACAGTTGTCGCGATCAATGGATGCCCAGTTTTTGTTCAAATACAAACTGGTTTCCTCTATTTTAGTCCACTCCGGAACCGCGGTTAAAGTCATCCAGTCGAATGATTTGAAACACTCGATTATGTTTGCCGGGACATTTTACAGCTTGTCGGGACACCACTGTTAATAACGGTGACATGTCCCGACGTATCGGGACGAATGGCAACCCTAAGCTAAATGTTTGCGCTGCCTTTTCTAGCAACTTTAACATTTGGTCGTTTTTAGCAACTCTTTTGATTAAAAATTGTCGATATAGCAACATTTTATAAAATACCAGATATTTTCCGGTTAACCGGTATCAACCGGTATGAACCGGTCGTAGCTAACAGGTAGTTGTGAATAGGTGAATAGTCGTATGCTGTATGTGGTTACGAGTAGCTCGGTGGCGTAGTGTATAAGCGCCGCGGCCCGCGATCGTAGTCGTTAAGCAACTTTCGCAAGGGTCGGTCACGGGATGGGCGACCGAAAAATTATTATCTCATCGAGCTACTCCGTGCTTCGGAAGGCACGTTAAGCCGTTGGTCCCGGCTGCATTTGCAGGACGTTAATACCCTCCAATCGGCATTGGGCCAGCGTGGTGGGTCACGGCCCATCCTCCTTAACCATCTATAAGGAAAGCCTGAGCCCCTGCAGTGGGGACGTAAAAGGGCTGATGATGATGGTGTATGTGTCTTAAAATGTAGGAATTTAGAGTCACACTGGATTGGAGTTTTTAATATATTTCACGTTGTAAATACATAAAAGTCAAAAGTAAAGAAGAGAGAGACATAAAAAACAATAAACAGTGTGTAAAATATCAATTCAAAAAAGGTATATTAAACGGTGCCGGTGTCCGATTAATATAGTAAAAGGTTTTATCTACAATGTGGTTACAGTAGACGCCGCCGCCGCTCCCGCTCGCGGTCTGAACGCCGTCGCGGGGCGCGTACACAGTCCGCCGCCGGAACCGCCGGATCCGCCGGAGCCGCCGCCGGCCGCGAGTCGCCGCGCCGGGAGAGGAAGCGCGCGCGCCGGGACAGGGACAGGGAGCGGGACAGGGACAGGAAGGAGCACAAGGTCAAGCCCGAGGAGGTCAAGGTCAAGCCCGAGCCCATGGACGGTATGTGTGCAACACTTGTGCTTTGATGGTACTTCATTTCAGGAATACATATAAACTTATCTTATCATGTTCCCATCATTATAATTGGATCCTCTCGGTTAATCGGGCATTAGACATATTTCATACCCGATTAAATTAAATCCAAATCGGTATATACTTATATTTTTTTCATATTACAAAACAAAAAATTTTTTCTTTACTTATTTCATTGTGTAAAAACACCTTTAGATTTAAATATTAATTTGGCACTACACAGTTGTCACTTATTATGTGTGTTGTGTAACGTAATAATTAAATAAATATTAGACTAGACATACGTTGCTCAGATTCCAAGATGAGAGTAGCGGAAGCTTTCGTATTATGAAGTATCTGAATCTGATAAAACGGAAGTCCCACAACACCCAGACACGAGACAATATAGAAAAGTCCATTCCCTACATCGACTTGAACGACAATCGAACCCGGGACCTCACAGACGGCGACCCCCTGAGCCTGTCGCGTGAGCCACTAGCGACACAAAGTACCAGGCTAGCATAAACCGAAGGAGTATCTTACAACATTTCGATTTTACTAAAGCCGAGTCCTTATATCTTTGTTTGTGATATCTTTATGAAGATTTTGTTTGTACCGAATATATAATTAAACTAGCCGTTTGCCCACGACTTCGCCCACGTATATTATATGCTACTTATAGGCGATACCTTGAAGCAGGTGCGCGAGTCACTAACGACACAAAGTACCAGGCTAGCATAAAAAGGGGGCTTTTAAATATTTTTTTTGTTATTGTAGGTCCATTCTAGACCATTTCCAATTATTAATAAGTTCTATAGTATTTTATAGTATACTAACTTTAGCCAGCGGCTTCGCCCGCATGGTCCCTAGGGAAATGTTAAATGGGATAAAAAATATCCTATTATCTAAGTCAGCTAATACCCTATCTGTATACCAATTTTCATCAAGATCCGTTCAGTGATGGACCGACAAACATCTAAACATCCAAGCAAAGAAACTAATATTAATAGGAATATAACATTAATAGGATTAAATAAGTGAACTTGAATTGAATTTAAATTTAAATAAGGTACCCCTGTTATTGTTATTTTATTGGGTCTTATTTGCCTTTAATAAAACAATATTATTATTATCTCTATAATATAAAAATGAATCGCAAAATGTGTTGGTAAGCGCATAACTCAACAACGCCTCGACCAATTTGGCCAAATCTTTTTTTAAAATGTTCGTTGAAGTTCAAGGATGGTTATTACGGCTATTAGAATTATTGCGGGATATTAGAATTATTGCTGGAAAAACCCTAAAAATAGCCCTTTTCTTTTTCCCATACAAATGATTTGTAACTAAAACGTAGTCAATTTGAGCTTTATTGCTATAGTATAAAGTTCATATTAAATTACAAGCACTCACTGTTGTCTAAGCAATGTAGGCTTTTTGACAGGACGAAGTCTGTCGGGTCAGCTAGTTAATAATAATAATAGACTATCGAGATATATTTATAGTGATAATTGATCCCTCGGGACTCTGTACTGAATTATATACATATAAAAGAATGTCCGGTTAGTTGCACCATTTATAAGTCGAGAACGGCTGGGTTGTTTTCTTACGATTCTTCTGTTATTAGATTTGTCTTCATAGTAATAATAAAAGAAAGTTATAATATGATGAGTGATATTTCTTTTCTCTCTGTGTGTCTTCAGCTGCGTTTTTCGGATTATCACGTACATAGACATTTATACGACAGAGATATCAGTGTTATACTAAAATATGAAGTAATCTGAACGAAACACTGGATTCTGGCGAAATCTACAAGGGCAACGCCATTAATTAAAGAGAAAAAGAAGAACAGTGATTTGTCATATTATAAAACGTCTCTGGCAGTTCACGTGATGCTGTCTAACGGCCGGTTTCTGAATTGCAAATCTCAACTCGAGACAAAAACTAAATCGCTCATTAAAAAAAATCTAATTGATCATTAAAAAAAAGACAAAAACATCGGAAACGAAAACCTGTTTCAGTACAGGATCAAAATAATCTTTATTAAAATAGACTTCTTGAAAGTATAAAGTACTTCTGAATCGAAAAAAAAGCTATGGTCTTATAATGATAACATTATAATTTAATAATAATGGAAACAAGATAATTTTTGATATATAATGAATTAAGAAGAAATGACATATCCAGTTTCTGGATAATCTCAAGTCCAAGCGTTCTTATCTTTTATATAATCGGATACCTTATAATAAGCTTTTTTAAACAATTTGAGTCTATGGTCAAAAAGTGGCATCAAAATTGAAATTAATAATTTTGTATTATTTTTAAAATCTATACTAAATAAATAAACAATATTTAACCCTAGAACCGTGTACCTATATGATGACATTATATCCTTTTATGACAGATTACCCCGAGTTCTCGCTGCCGCCGCTGCAGATGCACATCAAGCAGGAGCCGCGCGACGACGACCACAAGTACAACCCCGACCACGACCACGACCACGACCAAGACCAAGACCACGACCACGACCAAGACAACGGCGGCGACCACTACCACTACTAGGCGGCCCGCCTGTCTGCCAGGTACTGTCGCTAGCCAGGGTCGCGGTATAAAAAATTATTTGCACTATAGAAATCACCGTTACGGGTTCGGGATAAAAATAAACGCCAATCATAGTTCACAATCCGACATTATTTAACACAATTTTTTTTATTATATCTATCTGCAATCAGCCTTTAAGCTTTAATCAGATGCGCTGACATCTATCATTATTATTAGAGTTTGGCACTTCCAGTGATGCACCTTTCCCTCATTCACAAACTGATATGCCACATGGTCCATTAGATCATGGCTAGTGGAATTCTTTTTAGGCGTGTTACATTATCATTGGTGTTAAGCAGTGCCGTAGCTAACTGGTTTTCATGAACTTCAAGTCGTTTAATGTAAGTCTCGCAACATTTCTTAATATCGTCCTTGACGTATGGCATCTGCAGATATTCGTGGACTTCAGCATTCTTTGTAAACCAAGGTGCCTTACACAAGATCTTGAGGGCAGCATTTTGGAATCAGAGCTCTATTCCGTATGTTCAAATAGGTTTGATAATGGATTTGTTGATTAGAATTTTATTTTCCAAGCTCAGTACCGATTCCCTTCCGATTAACCAGTGCATTTCCTTCATTTCTCGATTAGCTAGGTCTCGCTTTGCTTTTATGTGATTTCTCCAAGTTAGATGTCTGTCAAGGTGCATTCCCAAGTACTTAACATTTGTCTGATGAGGTAAGATAGTACTATCGAGTTTAATGGCCGGACAGTCCTGTTTCTTTAACGTGAAAGTTATATGCGTCGACTTTGAAGCACTAGCTCTAATTCTCCATCGTTTCAGCCATGAAGCAATCCTATCAAGATGCTCTTGTAGCTTTTCTGAAGCAACATTGGGGTCCGCACTACAAGAGAGTACAGAGGTATCATCTGCATATGTGGCGGTCACTACATCAGTTGATGTGGGCATATCCGCAGTGTATATAGTATATAGCATGGGCCCCAGAACAGAGCCCTGTGGCACTCCAGCTCTAATTTCTCTGAGTCCTATCAAACCATCTCCTACTTTTATTTGAAACAGTCGATGTTCAAGGTATAACTTTAAGAGCATGTAAGCTGCATTTGGTAGACAGCGCTCGAGTTTGCATAGAAGTCCTACATGCCATACCCTGTCGAAAGCCTGTTGAACGTCAAGAAATACCGCGGAACAATATTCCCTCCTTTCCAGAGCTTGTCTTATGGTATGAACTATCCGATGTATTTGTTCTATTGTGCCATGGTGTGCTCTAAAGCCAAATTGGTGATCAGGAAGTACCTTTTGTTCTTCAAGTATTGGCAGAAGGCGTTTCAATAGAAGCTTCTCGAACAACTTAGACAAGATCGGAAGAAGGCTTATCGGTCTATACGAGTTGACTTCAAAAGCTGGCTTACCAGGCTTAGGAATCATGTTTGGAACAGACACCTTCCAAAGCAATGGGAAATACTGTAATCGTAACGTTGCATTAAAAACAATTGTTATCAGGACAATTCCTTTTCTCGGCAATTGCTTTAGGACCTCTGCCGTTATTGAATCAAATCCAGGTGCTTTCTTTTGTTTCAACAATGTGATGTGTCTCCATACTTCCTTTGGTTTGACCAATTTAAGAGGGGTAGACGTCCGCTGTTCGCTGTTAATATGTTCATCGTCATCATTTTTTAGTGGTATGTGGCAGGGTTCATTAGGTTGAAACACTTCTTCCATATGATTGGCAAATAATTCAGCTTTTTCTATACAATTTCTAGCCCAACCACCGTTTTGTTTTTTAAAGATGGTACATGTTTCTTGGGTCTTTTGTACATGCTGGTCATCTTCCACAGAGAGTAGTCTTCTGATTTATGCGGTGAAAGTGTTTTAAGTTGTTCTTGCAGAGTTTTATCACTATGTTCTTTGAGCATTCTCTTCAATTCCTTCTGAATTCTATTGAGAGAGCGTTTATCATGGCTATTTCGACTGGTATGCCACTGTCGTCTTAATTTTCTCTTCTCTGAAATCTTGTTCTTAATTTCTAGAGATTTAACACAATAAAATTACAAAAATCACTTCACATCACTAGTAGATCGTTCACCGCACTAGTTATCGGTTGTCCACCGCGTATCTTTAGGTTCTAGAACATTCTAGGCGTTTCCTCGGCCCTACCAGTATTCGCTGGGTGCGAAGTAGAACACGAATCGATCGCAGCGCGCACCGTGGCTAAAACGGAAAACTCTGTCGGACGAAATGTCACTTTTTACTTAAGAAATTTACATATTTGTGCATTTTAAGCAAAAATTAATAAAATGCGTCACGATACCTGCTGTGTAGTTGGCCGCAAGAACAATGGCAAAAATAGTGATAAAAAAATTATAGATTTCCTCGAGTGAGTTGGAAATAAGAATAAAATTACTAAGCTTCACCAAATAGGAGTATGAGTACATAGAAAAGTATGTGCTCATGTTCATGATGTAAATTACATATTTTTATATTCAACAGTTACGTAAAAGTGTCATTTTAAAGAATTTTTCATATTAATTTACCTTTTTTTATTGTATCTAAAATATATTTTTTGTATGAAATCTAGTTGAATAATCAAATTTTAATGTCAATGAAATAGCTTTAAGGACAATTTATAAAGTGAATATCTGTAGCCTTCGAGAAGTAGTGATTATATTTACAATTTGAAATGTTATTGTTAATGTTGTAGATAATTATGTACTAGTAGTATGACTTTTCTATTCCATAATTAATTGTGGTATTTTAGACTGAAAATAAAAAAGATCAACAGTATTAACGACACCTTAGGTTTACATAATCGAATAAAATCTCAGTAAATTACGCTATTTCAATAAAATTATTGTTTGTTTACTTACTATTCGCACTAAATGACATTTCAATATCCGACATAATTGTAACCGCTAGTTGGCGCTACCATCGTGCACCTAGCGAATATTAGAGGCATTAACAAATCATTCTAGATCGGCTACCCGTCCCTTTCTCGCCGACCCCATATATGCCTACATCGCACAGGCAGTTTCAACAGTGTTAGCGCGATTCATTGGCGCACAACGCCATCTAGTGATGCGTAGACGAACCGCGCCGGTGTACACAGTAACAGTATATATAATAACATAGTAATATACTTATAAAATAAAATATATTAATTATATATTTTTGTTACAGACTACATAAGGCGGGTGGTGCGGGAGAGAGGACAAGTTTTATAATTAAATATAAGAATCTGAATTGCTTTTAATGAAGTGAAATTCAACGCGACACCATTCAATAGTTTAAATGTATTATATTATACAATATATAACAATAAAAACGAGCGTTGTATCCATTTGTCGTTATTTT